CAGGAAAACCTTTTTTTCCTTGATTGAACCACTCCCTGTTCTGTGGGGTGGCCCCTCTTTCAGACCCAAGCATGCTTATATCAAAGAGTCCTCCAAGGTTCCTTGTCTGGGGATAGGCAGCCTAAGAGTGAAATTACCATGTCCTTGAGACACAGGAGGGTAAAGTAAAAACCTGAGTCCTTAAACACAGCTGGGAGATAAATCGCTCTTGGGCATCATTTCAAAATCAAAAGACTTAGCTACAGCTCATCCAGTGGTAGAGAAGCATGCACAGTGGGAAACAGAAGCTGGAGTTTAGCTGTGGGAAGTCAGTCTTGGAGAGAAAGTTTAATCAAAAGCTCTCCTTGACTGCCTCAACTTCCCCATTGGTTTTTCCAGTGTGCAAGCCCGATTTGATGCTGCTATCTTTATGGTGGTAATTGTTCTAAGGCACAGGCTCCTCTGAGAACTCCACCTGAGTGCTTTAATGAAGCTTCCTTAGGTTTCTGCTGGGTGATTTGATGATGTCAGTCAGTCTTTGTATCTCCCCTCCCTCCACATGCTTCCCAAAGGTGAACTTGATCACCTCAATAGATGTACCTTGTATTCAGGATTCCTTCACTGCCTTAGTGCTAAGGTGGGATGAGCAGGCAGTCCTTCTATCCAGAAATATTTAAAGAAAGAGACAGGCAAGTATATCCATTGTAAGCTTTTTCTTTTTTTTTTTCTTTTTTAGAATTTAAGCTTATGAGTATCTATGCCCACTATATTCATAATTACAATTTAATATCTGCATACAAAAGCTATGTAAAAATCCATTTTCCCCAAATATACAAATTTTCTTTTTGGATAGTTTAAAACATTTTGATCACAGATTTCAACAATTTTAGGCTGAAAAAAATATTACCAATCTAGCAATATCCCTTAACACTGTTTGCAAAACACAAATCCTCCACTGACTGTAAACCTCTCTATTTTGTACCATTTGTTTTTTTTTTTTTCCTGATTTCCCAGGGCATGAAACATTATGGAAAAGAGAGTCGTCTTTTCTGAAGAAAGCATGGAGAACTACTTTGGCTATATGACGTCAGGTGAGAGACGCCAAAGTCACAAGGGAGCAACCAAACGGAGGAAGTGGCATCGTGCCCTGACCACCTCTCCCCATCAGTGCATTGCCTGCCTACAGCCTCTTGCTTTGTCTCACATTGTGCCCTCTTGAGCACTGTCTGCATTCTCAGAGGAAAGACTCACATTTGATTGTCTTGTGCATAAGGTGGGTCAGCTTGAGCTGTGCAACAGAAAGCCACAATAAGTGTTTACCTGCACAATATTGCTCCTGAAGGCGGCGTTAACTAATGTGGAAACACACTAGAAATGTGTAATTTTTCATTTGCAAACATTTATACAACACAGTAAAAATTCTGTGATAAGGCCAAACCTTTTTTCTTCCTAGTCTCTCTCTTTCTCTCTCTCTCCTTTTTTTTGTATGTGTGTGTGTGGTTTTTTCTTTTCTTTTTTTTTTAAAGATTAAAGTAAAATGTTTCAATTGTAAAAAATACACACCGGGCAAATCCTTACCTGGATAATAAATATCTACATCACAGTACAATAAAATTTCTTCTCTATAAAATTTAAATATGGATCAGTCTATCACTATCAAAAGAAACACAATGCTAATATTTCCACATTATTAAAATAACAGGAAATTATGAGCTTATTTTAGGACCTGATGCCATCGCCATTGGAAAGGATAAAGAGATTCACTTGTCTGTCACCTCTTATTTTGAGGAGGACCTGTGGTTTGGTTATTCACTTAAATTAAGTTCATGGAAAAGATTTAGTCTTACAAAATGCTGGCTACATCTCGAAAACCGTAAGACTGATTTCATAATTTATGACTCATGCAGCAAAAGGTCAATATGACATGGATAGGTTTGAGTCCCACAGAATGAAGATGTCTTACTGACAATGACATGCTCTGAAGAGGCCCAGCAGGTCGTGAGGCTGGGTTGGGGAGGGCTGAGTGTGAGATCAAGGCTTGGCGCCTGCAGGTTAACGTGAGAAGCGCACTGCAGAGCGAGCAGAGGCAGCCTGGCTCTCTGAGATTGCACTGGGATGGAGGTGACACTGGGACCACAGGAGGGGGATGCGCTGGGCTGAGGCCCTAACGCACAAGCGCATCACCGAGGGCTGAGGCTTATCACACTAGAAAAAGCTCAGAGGCAGCACATGGTGTTTTCAGCAGAATCTATAGAAGTCGGTCTTTTTTCTTCCAGTTTCTGGAAGTTCTGCACATTGACACTGAAGTACACTTGAGGGAGCAAACACGTATGCACACACGTGCACACACACACACACACACACACACACACACACACACACACACGTCTGTTGCATGTGCACAGCCCTCCCATCCATACATATGATTTGAAAGTGAGCATTCCAGCAGGATGGGCATGTTGTCCTTGACTGGAATGTCCCCTCCCCCTGACAGTGGGGCAGGTTTGAAGGTTTTCCCCCTATCACATCCACACTTGATTTGAAAGTCTGGACAAGAAAAGAAAAGAAAAAGATTGGGAGCCAATCGCTCACAATCTAGTTTCACAGAAAGAAGTTCCCAGAGGAGGGCATGACTTCAGTCATTCTGACTTCCTGGTGTTCCAGTTCCTTCCCACCAGAAGACTGAAGCTTGCATATCTTATTCAGTACGAATGCTCAGCCTTCAACATGCTTGCTAGAGCAGGGCCTGCCCCTTGAAGGTGAGCCTTTACAGGGCGAGGATCATGAGCTGGGGCTGGCTGGCTGGCCCAGGATTGGGCTAGTTTCCAGTGATAGCTAAAATCCCCTACAGGACTCTGAATGACCCTGATCTAAACCCTGCACTAACGCTGGAATCCTGGTGTCTGAGGTCCTTTGGACATGGCCAGAATCTGGAAACTTCCTCAGAACTCTGGTGTCCCAAAAGTCCATGCACCTGTACAGGACTCGCCTGCTGCCTTCCCTCTCTCCTTTTGGAAGGAGAACTTGCCTCTCAGCGAGCTTGTTTTGATTGCCTGGACAGAGGTTCTCCAGGAGAGCTGACAGAGGAAACAGATGTTTAATGAAGTTTGTGAGGGAGGAGGCTGCCTGAGAAAGTAAACCTTTGACAGATGTTTGATCATGAATCTATGGAGCTTCTTGCTTCTATTTTAATCTCTACACCAAGTCTACAGTGCCTTGTTGTTTCCTTTACCCGGGAAGTCTAAGTGCTTAGTGCACTTTTATGCCCTCTCCCTAGGCTACTTTCATGGGCTCTGGGGACTTCCAAGGCCATTTTGCCTTCCTCTGAGTCAATTCTCATTTTGAATAAAAGCCAAATACATTCTTTAATTGTGAATGGGCCTTGTTTTTTTGTCTGATAAAGCTACACCTTTGAATATGAAAGGAATCTTTGAAGAATCCCCCCTCCCCATCTTTACTGGAGAATCATACAACAGAGAAAATAAGAAGGACTTAAGGAGAATGACTTATTTACCCAGTAAGAAAATTGAAACTGTGAATTCCTAAACTGACCAGGCTGTAGGGCACAAATTAGAAGTCAGGTGCCTTGACTTCCAGGGAGGCCAAGGATGCTCCCCCCAAGCCTAATGAAAGCAAGTGAGTGTTCTCACTTTTCACAGTGACTTGCTCTCCTTTGCTTCTAGGTAACTCTTGCTGATATGGCTTGTGTTCCCCAATATTTCCAGGATAAGGCAGTGAAAGGCAGGCAAAGGGATAGTTCATATCTGCTCTGTCAGTGAAGAATGGGTACATTCAGTTGCATGGGTACATTCTTTACCTGTTTGCAGAGAAGTTGTCACTACTGCTTTCTCAGGAACATCTACTCTATGCTGGTCATTAGGGGTAGGGCTAGACAGCAAAGGTAACAGTGTGTTCTTATGTGTGGTCTGCAGTTGTTTTATGAGGACTATTTGCCAGTGTAATGATGTATAAGATACAGAAGAATTAGTGTTTAGAGACAGTCGAGCTGTTTAGTGCCAAAGAATATGGAAGGGAGGTGGAGGGTATTGGGGGGTGGGGGTGGGAGATATTTGTGAATCTGTATCCAAGACTGGGTAAAGCATCGTCCAGCCATGGCACAGCCTACACCCATGAGTAGTGCATTTGCTTTGAATCAGAATGTTCCTGCACTGAGATCTTTCCCAGGGATTTTTTCCAAACAAGATTAGAACTTCAACATGTGTCTCCCTCCCTGATTGGAAGATCTAACCCCTAGGGAAATGTCATCAGTTCAACTGACAACCTGGATAAAGACCTTTGTGAGCTGGGGAAAGGACTGGTCATAGGCCACCGGAGAGGGGCAGCACTCTGTAAACAGGCTTGAGCTTTGTGGGAATGGCTTATGAATCTATCCAAGCTGTGAAGACACCGTCCTGCTTGAGGTAATACCACTTGCATTTGGGAAGCTATGCTTGCAACATTGATGAAGATTTCCAAACTCTGTGGGCATGTCAAGTGAAAGACTTTCCCTGTGGCCTCAAACTAGTCAAATACCAGCATGACTTCGTCATACACTTGTCCAATGTGAAGTAAATCACAAGGTCACAAAAGGCCATGGAAAGGAAAGCTGATTTGTTATGGTGTGACTGTTCCCACACATTCCAAGTCATGATGCTTGGAGAATAGGGGTGCTGCTGAAAATACTGAGCTCCTGAGTAAGTAGCATCTGCTTCCAACCCTTACATGCCGAAAGCCACATGTGTGTTTGTGTGTGTGTGTGTGTGTGTGTGTGTGTGGGGATGGGAGGGCATGCTCTGCCAGCTTCGCCCTGCAAACATCAGAACTGGATCAAGATGACTGTGGTCTTGGTTTTAAGGCTTCTTTAGTCTTCTACAGTACCGTTTAGCTTGCTTGAGTTGCTGACCAGGGACAGATGGGAGCTGGTGATGGCTTGGTGCTGGTGAGATTAATGATTGTCCCCTACTCAATCTCCACTGTTGTAAACCCTCCAAAGCATTCACACTGACTGGAGAACAAAATGCAACAGTTACAAAGACCCACATTCAAGAGACAATTTCATCCCAGTCTATGCCATTGATGACCCACTGACCCCCTGATGATCCTACCCAACACAAAGAAACAAGGAAACCACAACAAAAAGAGCTAGAGGTGGAATGAAAGGACATCCAGTAGCGATGCAGGAATGACAAGAACCTGTCCAGTCCATTTAGTCTTCAAATACTTCCAAGAACAGAGGCGGGAAGAGCTCCGTGGGGCACTCCACCTTCATGTGGAGGAAACGGCTGGCATGGCAGGCTCCAATCATCCGCAGGTCTGTCACCTTCATCAGGAGTTTGGGCCAAAAGTGTGTCACATGGTGCTTTCGGTAATTGATATAGTGTTCAAAGGCCAACAGGAAACTGTCTTGGTATTTCTCGATTCTCTCAACACAGGCCAGCCCTGGGCGATCTGAGGGGAGGAAGAAGATGGATATAAGTTTAGAAGTGGAAGGAGGGAGCTTGTCTGATGCAGTTCCAGATCTGGGGACCTCACTGCTCCCAGAAATGGGGAGAATGCAGCATGGATGGTAGAATACCAGAGGCCAGTTGACAGTCGAGATGGGTAGATCTGGAGGGGTTGGGGGGGCAGTGTTGAAATGGGTAGCTCTGGAGGGGGTGGGGGGCAGTGTTGAAATGGGTAGCTTTGGAGGGGATGGGGTAGGGTGCTGAAATGGGTATCTCTGGAGGGGGTGGGGTGGGGTGCTGAAATGGGTAGCTCTGGAGGGGGTGGGGTGGGGTGCTGAAATGGGTATCTCTGGAGGGGGTGGGGTGGGGTGCTGAAATGGGTAGCTCTGGAGGGGGTGTGGTGGGGTGGGGTGCTGAAATGGGTAGCTCTGGAGGGGGGTGGTGCACTGCTGGGTAGATCTGGTATTCCAGAGGAAATGTCTTATTACACAGTAATACAATTCATTTTTCATAAACAGATGATAACCGTGAAAACAAATACATGGAGAAAAACTTATTAAATAATAAAAGTTCCTTCATTAAAGGCAAAGGTTCTTACTGAAGATTTTGTGCCCTTGAGCATTTCCTTGTTAAAAACAGGGGAGCAAGTATTGCAGAGGTGTTAAGATTAGACTCTCTCTCTGTCTCTCTCTCTGAGACTTACTTAGGGCACACAGTCAGAAGAAATAACTTTCTCCCCACGTAAATCAACATTATTAAAACGTGTCTTTGTACCAATAATGACTTAGCTAAAACTTGCTTTTATTCCCTCCATGACTGTATTTCCCACATACATACAATTTCTATTTTAAGGGGTCACTTTAGAGAGAGGCTGTATTACAAAGGCAGCCCATAGAGGGGCTCCAAATTTTATTTCTCTGAGTACTCTGTATTTCATGAAGGACTCAGGGAAAAGTGGCCACTGGTTATAGCCTGGATACCAGCTGTACACTGAGCTTTCTCCTGATGTATGCCAACTCTCATGAAACCACGCAGGTTCCTGTAGAATAAGTCTAGTAGCAATAATTCATGTTACGTGTAGAATCATATGAGGTAACACTGAATTTGCTGGATTCTAGTTGTTAAAAGGAAGGCACAGGGAAGGGGGTTACACAGGATGAGAACAGCAGATATTGGGAAAACGGAGTCCCCGGGAGTTCCTCCCAAGTCACCAAGAGAGCTCAGTGTACCATTCTGTCTGTATTTGAAAATTTCCACAAAAATAATTTGAAATATTATTGCTTTTAAAATACCTTCCATACCTAAATTGTATGTAGGGAATGAGTTTCTAGACAAGATTAAAAGTACTAGGCAAGCTTCAGCTCAATAAAGAAGAATTCTCAAGGTGTCTGTGACCCAGGATCTGTGGCTCTGTATTTAGCCACATATCCAATAAACAATTTTTGGAGTCTACTGAACACTGATTAGACACATCTATGACCTAAAGGATAACTAGACCAGAGCGAGCGATAGGAAAGTTAAGCAGATAGTGACAGAACAAAATGACAAGTACTAAGTAAATAAAGTTATATTCTGAAATGAAGAAGATAGCCTGAAGTAATTTTCTTTATTTCAAGACCAGCTAGCTTCTCTTAAATAATGCAGTGTGTTTTGCATTTATTTATTATGACATAAATAAAAACAGGATAGTGTCAGCTCTGTCATGACACCTTCACTTCTGGGAGCTAGAGTTTTGAGAGGCAATTGAGCTTGGTTAAAAATATGATGGCAGATTAAAGAGAGCATCATGTCCTCCCTGGTGGGGTGACTGGTGAGCTAGAATGTTGAGTGCTGGCTGGAGCTAGGACTCCTTGGTAAATGTTGCTGAAGGGATGCTGTGGGACTTAAGTCTGGTGAGCTTTTGCTTTCACATGCTTGAATTCCTCCCCCTTGGGACCCAGCACATAAGAAGTCTAAGTATTCTTGCAGAGGAAGGGCTGTTAGGAGAGGCCTCTATAGGTGTTCACGGCTCAGCTGCAGTTCTTTGTTTTGTTTTTCTCTGTAGCTTTCGAGCCTGCCTGGAAATCTCTGTGTAGACCAGGCTGGCCCTGAATTCCAGAGATCTGCCTGCCTCCTGTGTGCTGGGATAAAAGGTGTAGGCCGTCAACGGCTGGCACTTGGTTTTGGATTGGTGTGCTATACAGTAGGAGGAAACTAAGACTTGAGCCAGCATTCTACAGGGTGGTGCTGTCACTCATGTCCATACTTAGCATGGGTGAAGCCTGAGGCTGGAAAGGGTGGGTGAGTTCCTCTGTCCTAAGAGAGCCATTTCATAGGGTTTCCGTTGCTCCTCCCTCACTTCCCCTAGCTGACCTGGGCACCATGCCAAGATTTACACAGTGCCTTAGCTAACCTTCACAGTAATACATGAGGTAAATATTCTAATTTCAACTTTATTTAGAGATGTGCAAACACAGGGAGCTGGATGATAACATGCTGGTTGGGGCTTCATATGAAGTGGGTGGGTTTTGTGGGAGAGGCAAGGATATGAAGCTAGCTCTGTCAGAGTCCAATGCCACGGGAACACACACTGATATACCACAGCTATGACTGTTTCCATAAACAGGTTCAAAGAGCATTGGAGGGAGAGACCAGTGTGGACTCCAGGGGGTTTCAGGCCAGTCAGAATTATTCAGCATCAGATTCTAGCTACCCTGCACTCGGTTCCCTGTCTGTTGACCCCTCTAGTTTCTTGCTGAAGGAGATCCAGCTAAGACTCCAAAGCTAACTAATGGAATACAGACAACACCCATTAAATGATTTGCATTAGCACCAGACCCTTGAAGCGCTTTTCACACCCACTGACTCCATACACTCACCTGAAGACATCAGCAGGACGGCCTGAAGCAGGGCAACTTCCGTGTCATCCAGGTTGAAAGATGACAGAGACATGCCCAAGTCAAAGATGGCATCTGACACCACCCCAAGACCCCCCATTTTTAAGCTGGCCTCGTGTCACTGCCATTTCCCCGTTCAAGGTTAGAGTCTCGCTCTCTGGGTCGTAGCGCACAGCGGCTCGAAGGGACATGATCTCCATGCAGCAACCTTTGAGAAGGATGATCTGGTCTTCACACGGCAGCTGCAAAGAGGCGCACACATCAGCACAGAACAAGACCAGCGCTGGCCACTGTGTGGGCAGAGCAACTGTGACCTCTTTGACCTGAGCCTTCATTCTCTACCTGGGGGGAAGCTTACAACCATCTTCTAATGATTTGTTTTGAGACAGTCTCCTATGGGAGTGCTGGCTGACCTGGAGCTCACTAATCAGACTAACCAGCCCTCAAACTTGTGGCAATCCTCCTGCCTCTGCCTCCTGAATGCTGAGACTACATACAGGTATCTAACAGTATGCCCAGACTTCGACTATTTTTTTTTTTTTTAAATGTATATGGGTGTTTTTCTTGTACTTATGTCTGTGAACCGGAAGGGCCATTGGATCCCCTAGAACTAGAGGCATAGTTAATTGTGAGCTGTCAGGTGGGTGCTGGGAATTGCATCTGGGTCCTCTGGGAGAGAAGCTAGCTTTCTTAACTGCTGAGTCATCTCAGCAGCCAACCACCGCTTTAGAAACCCTAATCTCAGCAGTTTACATTTCTTTTACCACAGGTCTCCCGCGGTGTTACAGTCACACAGAGGCCTCTGTTAGTCACCCCTGTATTTGAGAGTTTGTACTGTAGTTCTTCTTGAAAGTGGCGCTGAGCGTGGTTCAGGCCTCATCTTTTTTGTTGTTGGGTAGTTCTGTAATATTCTGCCTGCTCTGCTCAGCTGGCAGCCATGCTGTTCTGTTTTTTTTTGAAAGAGATTTACTTCCAAGTATCTCAGGAGGAACAAAACTAGGAGGCTGAAGCCAGATGCGAGTGCCCAAGGCGGCCTGGAGATACACAAGCTTTGCTCATGGTCAAACCAGCAAACCAAGGGCAGAGGTAAGGCAGAATTCGGGTGTCCTGGTCGTGGCTCCCATGTTTCTAATCTTGGTGATAGGTACCAGAGTCGATGGACAAATAAGATCTTTCTGTTCAGATATCAGGTTATTTAAAGGTCATTGGGTCACCATGTCAAAATTAGATTTTATGACAAAAGGCTGATAAAACTTTATGGCAGAACTCAGTGTGGCAAAACAGTAAAAACAGAAATTTGTGTTTTGTTGGGGTTGGAGAGAAAGTTCAAGAAGAATTCAGTGTTGAATCATTTGAAAAGGTCTGAATAACTGTTACAACTTGGGTTTCATGCCAAGATCACACAGTCATTTTAGTTACACTTCACAGTAGTACAGGGAGGGACAGTCCAGTTTCATTCATGCGTGTAAAAAACAGGCACTCAAAGTGTACCATGCTAGTATGTGGGTGGCACAGGGATGTTTTGTAGACGAGGCTGGGATTTGAAACTAGCTCTATTCAAGGCCAACACACATTTCTCAATTCCTAAGCTATGATGAAATTTCTGTAACAATGAATATGCAAATTGAACTTAATGTCGAAGTTGTCCTTGTAACTGGTGCAGCTTCTTTCTGGAGATGGGAACTCTTGACTAGTCCAGTTATTTTCTGAAACTAAAAGCAATCCCACTGAGCTGTGTGGAAGACCCTGAGCAGTCCACACTCAGCCAGTCACAGTACCATTCAGCGTTAAAGTGCTTTTACTTCTCTACCAGAAAAGGGCATCGATGCCTATCAAGTCTATTATTGTTCTCAGAGACTTGCTTTTGTTTAGGTCCTGACTTGTACTCCTAATCGAATTCTTGGAGGTGGGAAGCCTGGGCTTGGTTACAGACAGCAGGGGGACAGGCTGGAGAGAACAAAGTGAATCCATTTCAGTTCCCCCACAATTCTTTGTGGGCTCCCCCAGAGCAGCCTGTGGGTCCTGCCTCAGTGTCTCCCAAGATCCCAGGTAATGCCCACACTACCTGCTGAGCCCACTCTTGAGAAGAACCATTCAGCAGTAATAGGAAATCTCCCTCCCCCCACATTCCTCTCATTCCTTCCTGTCCTCCATCTCTCCCTTCTTTTCTTCCTTTCTTATTTTGGAACAGGGTCTCACAGAGTCAAGTTGGGCTCAAACCCCCTATGTGGCTGATACTGAACTTGAGATATGGATGCTGGGATTACAGGTATGCACCACCACTCTGCCTAGTTTATGTGGTGCTGGGGGTGAACCCAGAACTAGGCTTGCACTCTACCAGAAAAGCTACATTCATCTCCACTCCCCAGCATTGCAAAATTTCTAATTAGATAAAGCCAGCTATTTTCTTTCCCATGTTATGGAGTCTGTGAACTTGGGCAGGTCAGCAAGCCTTTATAGATAAAGTGCCGAAGACTGGTTCAAACTCAGCTAAAAGAAGCACTAGCAAAGCATCATCAGTGGTTTAGAAACTGAGCCAGATGCCTTTTCCTCCAAGAGGTCTGCAGGATCCTGATGAGATCTGTAAGTATGTGGGCACACACCTCAGAGGCACAAGCCACAATGTTCTCACTGTGAGAACTTCCAAAAGCCACCTGACAGGCAGTCACAGTGGCCCTGAGTCTTCCTGTCTGCTTGGAAGATCATCTGGCTGATGGTAAGATGACACACTCCAGCAGGGGTTCTTATGAAGCAGCTCTGACACCAGTCCTCACAGAGCCCTGGTGTACTACCAGCCACTTTGGGGGTTGTCTGGATATTTGCAGAGTAAGAACCACAGGCAGAGTTCAAATGGCAGATGCATTAAACTGCCTCTGCCAATATCCCCACCTGAGATGTTCATTCCCTCTGTAAGGAGCTCAGGGCCCACAACATTCATCTTCTTCTTTTGGATTTCTGAGAGGAAAACATATAGTAGAGGCCTAGACAACCCCAAACACTTATAACATGCTGTAAAAATTCTTCTTTTTTGGAAAATTTGAGATGGAATTCTGATGGTGAAATATGTTATATTACTGTCAGGAACTTGGAAAGGTAAGCTTGCTACAGCCCTGGATTGGAAAGTTCCAAGCAGCTTTTTACCCATGCCATTGAATAAAGTGCATGTTGGTTGCTGTGAGTGGAGGTAGAGTCTTTTGTCTTTCCTTCTTTATAAATTATCTCAAACATCTCTTCAGTGATTCATACAGATTTTATATTAAAAAGTGAACACTAACATTTCTGGTGGTCATTGGAAGAGCACTTGCTGTGTGACTGGCAGGCTAGCTTCAAGTGGCCAACTTAAAATCAACAAAATTCCTTTGCCTTTATGACCTGTAGCCAACACACACACACCACACACACACACACACACCATACACACACACACACCACACACACACACACCACACATACACACCACACACACACACCACACACACACACACCACACATACACACCACACACACACACACACACACCCCCACACACACCACACACACACACACCACACACCCCCCCACACCCCCCACACACCACACACACACACACACACACACACACACACACACACACACACACCACACACACACACACACCACACACACACACCATACACACACACACACACCATACACACACACACACCACACACACACACCACACCCCCCCACACACCACACACACACACCACACACACACCCACACACACACCACACACACACACACCACACACACACACACACACACACACACACACACCACACACACACCACACCCCCCCCACACACACCACACACACACACACACACCACACACACACGCCACACACACACACACACACACACACACACACACACACACACACCACACACACACACCACCACACACACACCACACACACACACACACACACACACACACACACACACCACACACACACACACCACACACACACACACACACACACACACACACACACACACACACACACACACACACACACACACACACACACACACACACACACACACACACACCACACATACACACCACACACACACACACCATACACACACACACCACACACACACACACACCACACCCCCCCCCACACACACCACACACACACGCCACACACACACACACACCACACACACACACACACACACCACACACACACACACACACCACACACACACACCACACACACACACACCACACACACACACACACACACACACACACACACACCACACACCACACACACACACACACCACACACACACACACAGTGGCAGGGGAGGGGAAAGGGAAGGAAGAGGAAGGGAGAAAGAGAGAGAGAGGGAGGAAGGAAGAAAGGGAGGAAAGCCAAGAACAGAGGACCAGCCCAACAAATGAAAAGGGCAAGGGGCAGACTCAGTAAGAGCCAGGGCACACAGGTTCCTGGCAGACAGGCACACACACTGAGGACATTAAGAGGTGAAAGAACTCTCTGGTCCTTCATTTGCCTACCTGGGACTCACCCTTAGGAAAGGGTGCTGTTAGCCTGGCACAGTCATCAGAACATTCACCACGGCCAGTTTTATTAGTGAAAAAGGGAAACGGATGGAAGGCCCAATGAGAATGAGACCAGAAGATGTTGGGGCAGATTCTTGGAATGCCATGTGGCCATCAAATTCACCTTGAGAAAGGATTTTTGAATGATACCCTGCCATTGAGAAGAACCTGGTACCCTGGGCTGAGGGGCTCTCAGCATTTCTAATTCTTGGTGTTTGTTATGGGGTTCGGTATGTTTATGAGATGAATCCTTATAGTTAGGCCCATTTCTCTAATAAAATGCTAAAGAACAGTTTTATAAGCAGAACGTAGGGCTTGGTGTATTAGCAAATTTATATTTCGTGTGTGTACGTATGTCTGCATGTTTAAGTGGTGTGGGGGGTGTGTGTGTGCATGTGTAAGTGTGTGTGTGTGTGCATGTGTAAGTGGTGTGGGGTATGTGTGTATGTATGTGTGCATGTGTAAGTGGTGTGGTGTGTGTGTGTATGTGTGTGTGCATGTCTAAGTGGTGTGCGTGTACATGTGTAAGTATGTGTATAGCAGATCAACATTTGTTCCCAACTGTTGGCAGGGCTACTTTGTGGCGGTGGATGATCACTGTTAACTTTATCTGTAAATGTGACACAGTCACCTGAAGAGACTCAACTGAGTCTCCATTCCTATCAGGTTGCTTTGTGGGTATGCCTATGAGGGATGGCCTTGATTTTTAATGGATGAAGGAGGGCCCAGCCCATTGTGGGCAGCACTGTTCCCCAGGCAGGTGGTCCTGGCCTGTGAGAAGCTGGTTAAATATGAGCCAGTGAGTGAAACAGTAAGCAGTGTCCCTTCATGGTTCCCAGCCTCAAGTTCCTCCCCAGACTTTCCCCAAGTGTAAGTCAAATAATCCCTTTCTTCCTCCAACTTTCTTTTGATCATGTTCACCATAGCAACAGAAAGGAAACTAGAACAGGTACTATTTTATTTCCTTGTCTGGGATGCTCATAAATGTTAATTTAAAAATGTCCAAGGTCAGAAGGTGACAAATGCTTTTGCCTTCTCAGTTCCTACCCTCAGCCACTGCTCTGGCCTTCTGCTCTGGCTACGATGGAAAGACACCACTACAAGTCTCATCATAAGGGTGATGTGACTCAAGCCAGAAGACACCAACACACATGGTTAGGGTTCTTGTCTACACCCTGCAGTGGTTCTGTTTTCATCTGCTGCAAGGTGGGGCTGTCAAAATGAGGCAGGAAGTGAGCTGAGATGGGGAAGGAGACGAGCTAAATGAGGGAGGAAGTGTCTCTGAGGAAAAGCATGGCTCTGCTGGTTGTGTTTCCCAGGCCTCAGAGGGGCAAGTGAATGAGCTTGTGGGAAAGAGGGAAACTCTACAGAGACAGTGAGAGTCTTTCACTGCATAGCCAGCTCTATGGAATATTCTGTAGAAGTGGTATTGATGTAAGTTCACACCATGGCAACCTACTTGATAAGCAAATTGTCTCTCTCTCTCAATGACAGCTGAAGAGAGAAGGCATAATTGGAGCACTGGCCTTTCTTTTCTTTTGACAGTGCTGGGGACAGACCCTAGGTCATGCATGCGCTCCACCACTGAACTGCAGCCCCGCAGGCATCCTCAGTTTACACGGACTGTGCCCCCCCCCCCGTGACGTTCTGCTGATTACTGTTAGACAATACCCTGCACACTAGATAATCAATGGAACAATCGTGAAAAGTGGCCCAGAAAGAAGAGCCATTTCCTCACCTCACAAAACATGGGCAACTTTTTGGCAAAATCCACCACTCTGGTGATTGCTGGTGTGATGATTTTTGTAAAATGGCTGAAGGCTTCCAGGTCAACCTTGCCACCTTCTGGGGCATTCACGATGGGTGCTTGTCCAATGTCTTCTGGCTGTGGAGGAGAAGGGAGAACAATTTCAGCAAAGCTGAAGAAACCTTGGTTTAGCACAGCCCTCATATGGCAGGGAAACAAGACCTGTCACTTCTGGTTGCCCCTGTGTGTTGACAAAGTGAATAAAATTCACATTATTTATGTCTTTGAGCAAATGTGTATGCCTTGGCCATTATTTTAATGGGCTACCAGGGATAATGTTCACAGGCTTGTTGAGGGAGAAAGTGAAGCGAGTGGGGAGGGAGGGGGGACAGAGAGGAAGAGGTTGAGGAGGAGGGAAGGCGGATAGTGGGTTGTGCTGGCACCCAAGGGGTCATGCTCAGGTCTGATGGTGGGAATTCCAGGTCACTGGGATGGCACATTCAGAACACCATGTTCCCTGGGGGTTGTAAAGTGAGCACAGGGAGAACAGTAATGGTGGCACACAATTGGTGAACCCCAATAAAAACTCCAGGGTTCACATTCTTGCTTCTGACTCAGTGCCTAGAGCTCAAGTCCCTTCAAAGCTCTTGGGTCTCTTGGACTGCAGTTTGAGGTGTTTTCAGCTAATCACTGAGGCGGAGTATCTCTCAGCCCACTGTAGGGAGATTGAGCTGTACAAGCTGGGCAAACCTTATGGCACGGTGGGACATTTGCTATCTGTAATGTCCCCAGAGTTCTGCTATGTTGTTTACTTGCTCAGAGACAATCCGTGGCTGAGCTTCTCAGAGGGGACAGTGGCGTGGCTGTCACTTGCGGATGCTCTCAGGCCCTCCCTGGACCTGATTGTTCAGAATCAGTTTCAGGCTGGCCCCAGGTGACTTGTGCATGGTAGATTTCCCTACATCCACAAGCCACCCAGGTCCTCGTGTGCATTCTGTCACCTCTCCTAAGGTATCTTGTGCTGTCTCTGTACTTTTTATGAGGACAAGCTTCCCCCCCACCCCCCATTGGCCTCTCTTGTCTTTGTGACACTAATAACCACCATTTATGTGTGGCCTAACAGCACACCGATGCCAGCCTCCACTTCTCTATCCCATGTGGCTCACAGAAGTTTAGGCCTTGAGAAAAGCCCAGGAGCAGGCAAGGGAAACAGCTCTGTAACACCTGTCCATCTTCTGATGCTGGGAAACTGATGGGCTATCCAGCATCCTCCAGCTCAGAGACAGATGGCTGCGGGACAGTGGGCCATCTTTGTCTAATGTTACACTGAATAGATGCAAACAAGACTTGGTTTCTCCGAGACACCAAGTGGTGGGAGTAGGGAGTAGGTGGCAATGAGTGGAACAGGGTTACCCTTCCCTGTTTGTGGAGTAGTCACAACAACGCCCTCTGCTCACTGCAGGACTCTGGAGTATTCACAACAACAGGGCCCTCTGATCATGGCAGTACTCTGGAGTATTCACAACAGTGCCCCCTGCTCATGGCAGGACTCTGTGGCTCCATACATCACTGTGCTCCAGTTTTCTGGACCTCGCCCCTCATGTCTAGACCCAGAGCCAGCTGGACTAATGGATGTCTTTCTATGGAGGTTATGGGATGTGCTGTTGCTGGTCGTCTGGGCCCCTGTGAGGATGCCAGGCAGCTGGTCTGACAAGCTTGTGAAGAAAACAGGGAGGCAAAAGCAGCCTCCCGATCAGGGCAAGAAGGGACTATCCAAGCCAACAAGATGAACGAGCAAGTTCAGCTTGAGACACTGCAGCAGCCATCTTTACCCTCATATCCTGTTACTGGTCACATCTCACAGGGCAGTAAATCACTCTTATCCTTAAGCTGCCAGTATCTCAGGAGTCACAGGGGCAGCCAGTCCTTGCAAGCCTGGGGAAGGGTTCTGAGAATGTGCGTGTTCACTGAAAATGTGGGCACTTTGAAATTTTCTATAGGTCCATCTGCGTGTGTGTGTGTGTGTGTGTGATGGGAGATGCCATTCTGTATATGTTTCTCATACTGGTTAATGAATAAAGCACTGTTGGCCAATAGGAAAGGAAGATAGGAGGGACTAGGAGATGAGGAGGAAAGAGGAAGTAGGAGGGGTCAAGATGGAGAGTCTGGAGAGAACAGAACCGCCATTCCTCCGCTCTTGGTAAGACCACGTGGAAATACATAGAAATGGGTTAATAATTAAGATAGAGCTAGCCGATAAGAAACTAGTAACTGGCCAACAGGATTATATCATATACAGAGTCTCTTTGTGTTATTTGTGGCTGGCATGGCGGCGGGACAAGACTCGGAGGCGGGTCAAGACTCGGCGGCTGGCAGAAAAAAAACCTTACTCCTTACATGTGTGTCTTTCATTTGATTGTTTTGGTGGTAGCAAATGGATGGAGTCTGGGTTATGTCATATTTTCATAGTGAGTGGCAATATTCTGTAATAACCAATGGCGTGGACTTTCTGAACACAGATGGGATAGATACAATTCCTGTCCTACTTTCTGTCATTGCCTGAGCTGTCCTATTTTGAAGGCCACTGTTCCCTGCATCTTGAGAATCTTGTTGGCTTGGATAATCCCTTCTTGCCCTGATCAGGAGGCTGCTTTTGCCTCCCTGTTTTCTTCACAAGCTTGTCAGAAGACCAGCTGCTAAAATGAGCATGGCCACATAGTAACTTGGTAGGAAACTCTTGAGTTAAAAGTACTGATATTATATATATATATATATATACATACACACACACACACACATACACAAACACACACACATATATATACATACACACATATACATATATATACATACATGTGGGAACATCACAAAAACAATATATTTTTGTATATATGTGTGTGTGTGCACATATGCATTGGTATATATCATGTACATATGTGCACATGTAGTAGTCAGATGTTGATGCCAGATATCTTCTTCAGTTTCTTTCTAGATGGTGATGATTATGATGAGGAATTTTAATTTATTTTTAAAATGTATTTATTTTTATTTCATGTTTGTGGATGTTTTTGTCTGCAGGTATATTTGCACCATGTGTATTCCTAGTGCCTGCAGAAGCCAAAATAAGGTATTGGATCCCCTGGAACTGGAGTTACAGATGGTTTTGAGCCACTGTATGAGTGCTGGGAATTGAATCTAGACCCTCAAACTTCCATCGGATAGGACTAATCTGACTGTACTGAAGTGGTCAGCGCCGTGTCCTTGACAATGCTGCCATCCACTAGTTTTCAATCCATTTGTGGGTAGAAAAGCAACGGGATCATTTCCTGGGACCAGTGATTTGAAGGAAGGAGGACAATTATGCAAGGGAATATGGCAACAATAAAACTATAGCCCAGATGGAACAGCTTTTCTGTTGGGAAACAAACATCAGAGTGGAAAAAAGCATTCTATTGTAGCATCAAGGTTTATTTCCATAATGGATCTCAGGTACTAAGGAAAAAGAAAAAGAATCTGGGAAGGAGGTGAGTTGCCATCTGGTATTTGCAAATGCCCATGTGAATTCCCTGGGCTGTTTTCACCCATAAGGACTGGATTCTTCTTGATTCTGCTTGATACCTTGTTATGACTAGGGCCTTGGGTACCAAGAAATAGGTTTGACCCTACATCCAGTATGCATTTGTGCTCCAATACCAAACTCCAGCACCAGTGATCACTCTGGCTTGCATCTACCTGCTTTGACTCTGGACCTGCCAGCTGCCTTAGTTTACACATAGGGCATTCCAACAGTAACACCGACTACTGTTCTCTGTGCCCTAAATGGACCACCTGGCTCAGCACATCTGACCTTACCACAAATTGCCCTTGTCTTTTCTACTGCAGCCTTCTGTCTGGATCTTTCCTTACCCTGAAGCTCCAACTTGAATCTCTCATCTCTGTCTACTGTAAACCCCAACTCAAATCCTGTCTGCTCCTAGACATCTTATTAGATAAACTCATTTGAAATGATGCTGACCTCCTTTGCACACTCCTGGTGGCCAGTGGGTATCACTATCCTGGCACTGAATATCTATTACTCTTATTTTTCATAGTTATCTAGGCACTCATCAAAGGACTAAGCCTTTGTGTTTTTGCTTGCTGTGTATCAGGCCTTTGCCTGAAGGGGGGCAGATAGTATACGTGTTTGTATATTTACTTGCCAGCACATCTGAAGTAAATGCTATGAGCTAGATCTCACTCTAAATGCTGCAATTGCAGAAGTGAACAAAGTCTCACAAGGTAAGTTGCATTGTAGTGAGGGGAGATGGAGGATAGGCAAGAAAAATAAATTCCCGGAAGAACTGCAGTTAGTGATAAGCCTGGAGGTGGTGTTAGTCCATCAAGGCCAGGAGATGGGTGGTACCAAGGTCTGGCTGAGAAGCACACTGGTCAGCCCTTTGACCTGAAGAATAGCAAGGTGACCAGCTATGTTCTAGCTATGTTCCTACCGCCATGCTTTCTTGGCCATTGTGCTGGCTAGTTTTTATGTCAACTTGGGAACAAGCTGGGAAAGAAGGGAATCTCAACTGAGAAAATGCCCCATAAGATTTGGCAAGGCATTTTTCTAGGCAATGATTGATGGAAGAGGGTCCAGCCCATTGTGGGTGGGGCCATCCCTGGGTTCTAATAAGAAAGCAGGCTGAGCAAGCCATGAGGAGAAAGCCAGTAACCAGCACTCCTCCATGGCCTCTGCATTAGCTCCTGCCTCCAAGTTCCTGTTCTGTGTGAGTCCCTTCCCTGACTTCCCTCAGAGATGGACTATTACCTGTAAGTGTAAGCTCAAATAAACCCTTCACACCCACAGGTTGCCTTGGTCATGGTGTTTTGTCACAGCAATAGTAACCCTAGCTAGGATGGCCACAATGAACTAGTCTCCTCAAACTGGAAGGCAAAGTAAGCCTTCCTTCCTTGAAGCTGCTCATTGTCAGGGATTTGTCAGAACCATGAGAAGAGTAATTAATATACCAGTGCAAAATTCAGAGGACAGAGGAGCGATCCAGAGGGAAGGAGTCCAGCAGAGACGCATCACACTAGACCCCATGGACCACAGGAGAAGAGAAACATCTACATACAAAACAACGCTTAATGAAGGCCTACAAACAGAACAGAGGCCCGATGAGATGTCTGGCTATTGCGCTGGAGAAGGGCTGAGCCAGAAGGGAGAAGCTGAGGTGGGCTGCACTATGGGCTTGCAGTAAAGCAGACAGAAGTGAGGCACTTAGGAAGATGCGCGGGATGCAGATTTGGAAACCCACAGTGGCCTGGCTCCTCTGGGCAGTGGAGGCAGAGAGGTACAGAAAAGGGGTTCAGGTGTGTGTGTGCAGGCATCTGTCTCTGCTCAGCACTGGGGAGGATGGGGTTACACAGAACTCGGCCAGCTGGCTCTCCACGTTGAGGTTTCCTTAGCATTGTTCGAGGTAAGTAGGAGATGTGGCCAGTTGGCCTTGTTTCAATGGCTGGCTGGAAGCCAAGGACATCTCAGCTTAGCTTAGCAGCTCTCTGGCACTGGCAGAGCGGGACTCTCTATTTGTTCACCAGGTGTCTGCTCACACCATTACAAAGCCATGGAGAAGGACACTGACACTCAGGGCCTTGGGGCCTTGGATGTGTCTCCAGGCCTATACTTCTGGGAATGAATGGGATAAGATGGTGAGGGTGGAGAGCTGTGGGGATGACACATGGAACACGAGATGCCAGGCACCACTGTACTGTTTACAGCGATCAGTTTTACACCATTCGAGATAGTCACAAAGCAAATAAACTGCAGGCGAGTGTGTGAGTGTGTGATAAGCTTCCTCAAGGTCACCCAATTAGGGAAGGGTTAGACCTGTGCTCTTTGGTTCCAGGTCAGTTTCCCACACAGCTAGCTAGGCTCTCCTGCCCGCTTCTGAAATGAGAATGATTTGGGGTGGTACAGTGTGCTTGTCCCCTGATCTGACCACACAGACGTATCTGACACTCCAGGCTGGGCCCTCTGACACTGTACAGTTGAGAATGTGGACACTAGGCAGTGATACAGCTCGGGGGTGGGGTGGGGACCAGGGCAGGTCTGCCATGACTCTAGAGGTCACATTTCACTCTTGTACAGAAAGTCTGGCAGCTGCGCCTCTCCGGTGAGCCAGAGAGGAGAATAGTGGCACAGGGTCACTAGATGACGCCGGCAGTGTGCACAGCAGGCTGTAGAGGGTGTGGGTTTTGTGCCAGAGTCTTCCTGCCACTGAGAGGGTAGAAACAAGGCTCCCTCCTCAGCCCACTTCTGCTTTTCACAACAGTGTCTTCACTGTTGAAAACATTTCTGTAACCTCGGAGATTGAAGAAAAGCTTGAAAACATGATTTAAATGCATTTGGGTGGGGTTTGACAGCATGGTTTTAGGTTCATTATGAAACGGCATGGATTTTACAAAAGTTCCTCATTTGCCAAACACTCTTATTTTCTCAGATGGAAATAAATCTGAAAACCAGATCAACCCACCATCTCTTTTTCTGACTTGGATGGAACCTGTCCTCAGGGGGCAAACGAAGAAGCATTTCCTTCTGGGGATCGGACACTCATTCCCAGTTAAGTGAATAGTGCGGCTTCCATGACAGCATATGGTTCTCAATCCCTCATGGCTACCGTGCTACCAAGGCCGCAAGCCTCTTCACATCCCTTCCCAGAACAAAGTGGAGTGTCAGCACATAGAAACCATTGCAATAGTACACAGTACTCTAAACACAAAGAGGACACAGCAGCCGTTCAGGAAATGTAAACCTGAGAATGTCCTTCTGGCCATGGCAAGAACATGGATATTGTTCTAGTTTACTTTCCATTGCAGTGATAAAACACCCTCACTGAAAGCAACTTGGCAGAGGAAAGGGTTTATGTAGCTTATACTTCCTTGTCATAGCCTCTCAGGGAGGGAGTCAGGGAAGAGAACAGTGTCACCAGATGATAACGACAGGCAGGAACTTGAGCAAGAGCTTGAAGGCAGGCCTGCTGCTAGTCCAGTGGATACATATTAAACAGAAAATTAGAGCACGGACTGGACAGATGGCTCAGGTAAAGAGTACATATTGCTCTTGCAAAGGACCCAACTGGAGTTCCCCACACTCAGATTAGGGGCCACACAACCACCTGCAAACCCAGCTCCAGAGGGATCTGACACTTCTGGTCTCTGGGGGCATTTGTACCCACATACACATACTCCCATACACATAGACACACAAATTCCCACACATACACACATGCATACACATATGCCCACACATACACACATGCACCACAGACACATATCCCCACACAGACACACGTACACACAGACACATATCCCTGCACAGACACGTATGTACACACATACACATATACCCACATGGAAACACAAGTACATACATATACTTTTCCCCACACAGACACACATACATACACATACACATATCCCCACATATACATACATACATACACACACATATACATATCTCCAGACAGACACACATACATACACATATACATATCTCCACACTGACACACATGCATATACATAACATAAGAGGATAAACCCTTAGACTCTGAAAAGAAACACTTTGGTGATGACAGAAAGAGGCTTAGTTAGATTCATGCCCACCTAAGGGTTAAAAAATAAAAAAAAGCATAAAATTTCCCAGAGGTCCAGAATGGCCCCTGACTCCTCCATCTGAGTCAGAATTCAGCTTGAATTCCCCTCCCTGTGGGCTACTTGAAATGAGAATGCGGCACCCGGTCTAGAGGTGGCGCACACATGTAAGGCACAGGTAGACTTAGATGAACTTAGATCTGTGGGCATGCTGGTCTCTGCACTGGTATGGTCTAGCTATGGTCTGGAATTAGCCTGCGGATCCAGAATTAGTGCAATTGGATTTCCAGACAGGCCCATCAGGGTGGGGTCAAAGGTGAAGAACCAGGGTGCTGTCCTCCAAGACCTCTTTTAAGCCTACGTGGGTGGTAGGCAGGAGGAGTCCTGACAGACCTGGCACTGGCTGCACGTGCTTCCCATGTTCTAGCACAATCTAGCTGTGGGAGCACCTATAAGCCTCCCATACACCTCTCTCTGTAAACGGAGGTGTTCTTTCTCTGCCTATAGGGTAGGATAGGGTCTGAAGAGCAGGGCTCTCGGAGGTTTAGGCTCGAATCTGGCGTATCATGAGCATCACTTGAGTGTTTGGTAAGTTTTCTAGATTATACATATCCCCCATACCCCTCCAAATTCCTTTTATGACTGTTTTTCTGTGGTCCTGGGGATGGACCCAGGATCTCATGCAGGCTGGGCAAGTGCTCTCCCACTGAGCTGTGTCCGGGCTCTTTCTTTGTTTTTACTTTTCAGTATTATTATTATTTAATATTTTTTTCTTATTTTACATATCAATCCCAGTTCCCTCTCCCTCCCATCCTCCCATGCCCCCCCAACTCGCCCCCCATCCTATCCCCCATCCACTCCCCAGGGAGGGTGAACCCTTCCATGAGAGATCATTTTGAGATGGGATCTTATTAAGTTGCTTAACCTGGGCTTGTAGTTCAAAAAGGCCTTGAACTTGCAATCTTCCTGCCTTGGCATAGCATTGGCTATAATTGCAAGCCTAAAACCACTGCACCATAATGCTGCCGTTGCAGTGCACAGGTAATTCCTCCGTGACTTCTTCTTGTTTAGAGGGATGTAAGAAGGATGTAAGATATCCACAGGCCTGGATGCCAGCAAGGTACCCACAGAAGCCTTTATGTCTTACACTGAGAGCAGAACCAGTCTCTGCTGGACACTGGTTAGAGCAGGTGGTCTGTTTGATGGGGTGGGTGGGGTGACTTGGACCAGAGGACCTGTTGACTTTGGGGCCTGCTTTAGCCACTTACCATCCATGTATGACTTCGGGCTTGGTTTATGTGTCTGTAAAATGGGGATAGTAGCTCCAGCAACCTTGGAGTACTGGGAAGTCTGGATGAGAAACGGCTGCCAAGGACTTTCATTCTAAAATCCAACAAGCACCCACACACCCTAAAAGATCTGGCTTATGTCCATATTTCCCCCACCACTACACTCACTCCCTGGCTCCTGGACCCAAGCTTTTATTCCTAGACAAGCATATCGACTTCGGCAGATAAAAACTTAGCTCATGGGGGAGGGACTGTGGGGAGGGGGGGGGGGGAACTGTGGTCTGGATGTAAAATAATAGCAACAACAACAATAATTCATGAGAAAAATACAGTCTCAAAACCAAACAACAATAACAACAACAAAAGCTGAGATCTGAGGTCTGGGCCCTTCTTCTAGAGAGTCTGCTGAAGGGGGCTTGATGTGGAAGGAGCCTGGAAGGTATGTACCCTGAGAATCTGGGCAGAAGCAGGAGGATGATGGGTAGGCCAGCAAGTATCAGGATTTTCTGAGGAGAGGTCCCAGCCCTGCCTTGTTAACAGAAAAGCACCCAGAGGTCAGAGGCCTGAGAAGCTGCTCTGGGCTCCAGGGAAGGACCATTGTGTTCCAGTAGCTTCTGCACCCAGGCTGGCATGACTGCAGTTACAGCTCCTCGCCTCTCTGAGCTGCACCGTCAGGAAAATGGGGCACTAACAACAGCAGGGGCGGAGGACTCTAAATGGTGGCAGAAAATGGGAGCATACGTGGGTAGCGAGCCTGGCAAGGAAGCTTACCAGAAATTTCCGCTTCTGCTTCCAGTGGCTGCCCTGGGCATTGGTGGCCACATGGGCCTCAGTGACAGTCTTGATGAGCTCCCATTCCTCATCTGTGGGCTCTGGTTTGTGCCCAATTGATTTCTGCAGCTCTTCCCGCCGCCTCTTCTCACGGTTCTCCTCTATCAGCTTCCGCTTGGCTAGCCTCTTGCTGTCATCCAGCACCACTGGGAGGGAGAAAGGTGAGAGGGACAGAAGGTACCTTAGGGCTTGGAGCAGACTGTAGGTCGTGAGCCCCAGGGGCCCTGGGCTTGACAGCTTAGAGCGGTGGGGCTCTGCCTCCCTAATACTGTGGCCCTTTAATACAGTCCCTCGCGTTGTGATGACCTCCAACCACGAAATTATTTTGTTGCTATTGCATAACTGCAATTTTGCTACTGTTATGAATCATAATGTGAACATGTGTGTTTTCCAATGGTCTTAGGTGACTCCCATGAAAGGGAAAGCTGTCTCTGATTAACCCTGCCCAGTGTGAGCCCAGGGTCAAGGTCCCAGTGCCCAGCCCAACTTTCCACAAAATAGAGCTTTGAAGGAACCTGGGCACCAGGCATTCAGCTTCTACAGAAGACAGAGGCCCTAAAATCAGACTGAAGCACAGAAACTTACAGTCCACACTATTTGGCAAATCAATTGAGCTGCCATCTGCATTCATTCCTGGGGCTGTACTTTTCATTAAGGAAGTTGGCTGGAGCAGGACGGGAAAGGACTCTTGTGGGGCAGGAAGTCTTTTGAGTCTCACAAGACTTTGTACCTCATCTTCCCTTGATAGTAGATGAAGAGGCTTGGCTCGGAATCTAGAAAGACTTGGGTTTGAACCCTGACACTACCTCTTTCTAGCTGTGTGACTTCTAAGCAAGTTTCTTAGGCTCTCTGAGCTTTCATGTCTCCTTTATTAGATGCCATTAAAAATACCCATGCACAAGGTTGCACTATGGCAACGAAGTGTAAGTGTTCAGTGAATATAATCATAAGCTTTACCATTTGCGCAGAAAAGGAACAGGAAACCTAGCTTCCTGTGGTCAGTTTCCAAACGAGACTGTTTCACTAGACTTGTAGTGAGACTGAGAGGTTCAGGCTTTATTTTATTTTACTTAAAGATTATTATTATTCGTATGTGTGTATGTGGGGGTGGGGAGGTGTATATATGCTGTGGCATATTTGTAAAGGTCAGAGGATAACTCTTTGGACTTGGTATTCTTCTTTGACCCTGTAGGTTCTGAATATCAATAGGCTTGTGTGGTAAGTACCTTGTGTAGTACATTACCTCTTGTTTTTCTACCTAAAAATGTGTGCACGTGTGTGCGCGTGTGTGCGTGTGCGCGTGTGTGTGTGTGTGGGGGGTAGTGATCCACTCTATACACATGCAGAGGCCAGAGAAGTATGTTAGGTATTTTGCTCAATCACTCTTCACATTTTTTGAGACAGGGTCTCTCACTGAACCTGAAGCTTGTAGTTAGGTGAGGCTCCTGACCAATGAGGCTCCTGGATAATGAGTCCCCCAAATCTACCTGTCTCTACCACCAACACTGGGGTTACAGGCACATGTGGCCATGACCAGCTTTTATGTGGATGCTGGTGGTTAGACTCAGGGCTTGCTTCTTGCTTTCCCAGCAAGTGCTTTACCCTGAGCCATCTGCCCATCTCCAAGACTCAGGTTTTAGATGACCCCGGGGCAGTATCTAGGCCATGCTGTTCTTTTCACAGAGGAGAGAATGTTTCCAGAGACTGTGACTTGACTAAAGTCACACATAAAGTTCATGGTAAAGCTGGCGGAAGACCCAGGACACATGCCTTCAGTTCCTACAACTGAGTGTCCTTGGGCCATGTAAAGGGCAGACATAGCAAGAAGAAGAAGAAGAAGCAAGGTGTCCAGCTAACTCACAAGCGCTCCTGGATGATTTCATCTGGATTGAACACTGATGTCACACAAGTGTCTGATAATGTGGGAAATATGGAGCAGCCCTGCAAAGTAACTTTGGTCTACTTTCTAAAGGCCCACAATGCCTCAGCTCTACTGCCCAAAGGCTTGTCACACTATTGTATTTGACATGAGCTACATACTGAATCCTGGACCTGGCTCTGTGAGGTCGGTGGTGATTTCTCAAGCAACAAGCATGAAGCTTAACTCTGGGGCCATATACCTAGACAGTGGTAGGTCTGGGACTTCTACAGAGGTTTCTGTCTGTCTGTCCGTCCATCTGTCTGCCCTTCCTGTCTTCCTTTGCTCTCTCCATCACTTCTTCCTTTTTTCTTGTTGTCTAATGATTTGTTTAATTTATCTAGTGTATGTATGTGTGAGAGGTGTTCCTTCCTTCCTTCCTTCCTTCTTTCCTTCCTTCCTTCCTTCCTTTCTTTCCTTTTCTTTTAAGCTCGTGATGGCTGTGGAAATCATTCTCACTGGTTCCTGGCAGAGGGGAGGCTGTATATTTGGGATGGCACAGTTCTTTGTTTTATGACAGTTAAAGTGACTGGTGTAAATCCCTGGTCGAGGGTTGGGAGGGGCAACCCAGGCCTAAACTCACTGTCTGTGCTATGGCATGTAGAAAACTGGGTGTGCAGCTTTAGCTAAAAGAATTTTTGGGACTAAAAATACATTAAGCAACCACCAGTGGATGATTCATGTGGAAATATTCAACTTTGAATTCTTAAAAAATTCTTTGACTTGATGTTTTCTGCCAGTACCACATCTCCAAAAACATCAACCAAATTAATTTATTTGTTTTTGAAAAACCAAGAACTGGTCTGTAAACTTCTCCACACATGAAGCCTGCATGTGAGAAGTGATTATACTACATAGACAAGTCTTCTTGTTTGTAGATTGAAACAGGGTGGCTAATAGGCTACCCTTCAAACACACACAGGGATGACTTAGCCACCCCTCCCCACATTATCTGGATGCTTTGGAAGTTGGGAATTGATAAGTAGGGAAGAAGAAAACCAATGGGTCCCTACAGCAAGGCAGGCAGGGAGGGGTATGAATGATAGTCAGACTGTGTCCACAAAGGTTCCTGCTTTCTTTGTTGATATTGAACTAAACCTTCCCCCCCCCCCCCCAGTGAACACTCCTCAATATCAAGCAAATGAAGAGCATCTACTTACAGTCTGTTGCCATGCCAACATAGATGCATTTCTTAAAGCGACATTCCTGGCACTGGTTGCGAGTGACTTTGTCTATGACGCATTTTCCTTCATATTTACAGGAATAAGATGGATGGAGACTTTTCTGAATGGTTCTTCTAAAGAAACCCTAAATGAGAAAGAGCCAAGAAAACAGGTTGTATTTGTGTCTACCTAAGAATGAGATCAATTGTTCTGGCCCTTAGCCCTGACTCTTTCAAAAATGATCTGTGATCTGCAAGTGTAAGTCAAATAAATCCCTTCCTCCCATAATTTGCTTTTTGTTGGAGTTTTTAATCACACTAATAGCATGAAACTGGAGTACTGTAAGGATGGAAAAATTTAGCCAAACTCTCCACTGACCCCAGGAGTAAGAAAAAGGTCACATTCTTGACTGTTTACGACAGGGCGGTTTTACAACAGCACCTGTGAGTGTATGAACAAGAAATGAACCTTGTTACACTACCCAGAAGCCCTAGCGAAAGCAGACTTCCTGAGCTAAGTGTGGGCTTGGATAGTTCAAATTAATTGGTCTGCACAGGATGCTATGAGATGATTGGTTTATGATGCATGGGCTTTGTTGTAACCATATAAAAGCTGTCTAAACCCTGTACCCAGGGTTCCCAGTCTCCAACTTCCACGTGGAGTGTGGCTGCGAACCCCAGTGCACTGGAATATAAAATACCTCATGCTTTTGCATCAAGACCGCTTCTCGTGAGTGATTTGTGGGGGCGCCTTTCCTGAGGCCCACATCCTCCACGGGTCTTACAGTACCACCTCAGGTTAGTATTTAGAAGGAACTGTTGTGTTTAGGTGTGTCTTTGAAAACCAAGTCTGTGGCGGGGGGGGGGCGCAACATCGACTTTCCTTCTATGAAATGCAAAGTGGCACGTCATGGAAGTTGAAAATTCCAAAATCTTTCTCTTGCTAGGACAGTGCAGTCTGTCTGTATACACTGTAAGTTTGAAGAAATTGTGAGGTGTGATCTTTTCATCTCCAGATATTCTTGAAGATGGTGTTACATTTGAAAACTCTTCAATCTTTCCCAAATTGCTTCTTCATCATATTAGGAGATCTTGAGAATTTCTTGTTCCTCCTAGGTTCCTTTTCTGGGTCTGTGATGGGAACAACCTACAAACAGGATCTGATCTGGTACACAGGCACAGAGGTGGGAGCCAAGGTCATGCTATGTCATGCTTGTTATGTTTTTAAAGATTTATTTTAAATTGTGTGTAACTCCCATGTACAGGTGGTTTCAGAGGCCAGGAGAGGTCTTTGGATCCCCTGAAGCTGGAGTTATGGGTAGTTGTGAGATGTCTGATATGGGTCCTGGGGACTCAGGTCCTCTGATAGAGCATGAATTGCTCTTAACCATCTAGCCATCTCTTTAGCCCCTATATGACGCTTCTTCTCCTCCTCCTCCTCCTTATTCTTCTTTAAATCTCAGCTGAATCAGGTCTCTAAACATCTAGTAGTCTTGGGCCGAGGTTAGTTGACATTAGTGAGGGAGGGTCAGGGGTGAAAGCTCGCCTCTCCCCTTGTTAGGGAAGTTGTCATAGGCACATCCATTACAGTTTCTCTCAATTTAAATTTGTTTTTTATGATATTGTTGTAAAAGCATTGTGATTATTGTAACCAGGAAGGTGAAGCTTTATGTATCAGGGCTAATTCAGAAAAAACAAGACAAGACAAAGGCTAGTTTCCATTACTAGTTTCAACTCATCTTGGAAGTAAGAGAATGAACCTAAAGCCACATAATCTTATTGCTTCCTTTTCCCCAGCACCAGCGATTAATTGGACATAATGGTACTCTGCTACTATACACTATCCACAGGACAGTTTTTGTTTGACTGTTTTTCACAGCAGGGTTTCTTGGTGTAGCCCTGGCTGTCCTGAAACTTGCCTTGTAGTCCAGGCTGTCCTTGAACTCAAGATTCCTTGCCTCTGTTGGGATGAATGGCATGTACCATCACCTGGCTTAGTACTTTTTACTTTTTTATTTTTGAGACAGGGTCTAAGTTGCCCAGGCTAGCCTCCAACTCATTCAGTAGCCCAGGATAGACTAGAACTTGCTGTGTTCCTGAGACAGTCTCTTAAGTAGCTGGCATCACAGACCCGAAGCATCAGACCGGGTTAGCCTTATTCTTTTCAGATGAAGCAATGAAACCATGCTTTGAAGAGCAGGTCTGCAACTGCAAATCTCCTAATTAGTCCACAGCCAGGGCTTGGGATTAGCTTTTAAACCCCATAAGACCTTACTTTCATAGAAGCAACACAACCTTTAGCCCAGTCTCCTCATCTACAAGTTCTGTATCAAAAGGATCTTGGGGAAGCAGGGTCCCTTGCTTCACACACATTCCAACTGATGGTGTGGCAGATGTGGCCCCAGGACCCCAGAAAGGACAGTGGTTGCTGCTTTTGTAGAGATGGGACAGTGTCATGGTGCTTCCTAATGTTATGTGTAAAAAATAGGGGACCGGCATGGAAAATCTCCCACTGGGGAAGTGGAGCCCACTGTGGTGTGAATGGAACTAACCTGTTAATTCTAGGGGGTTTAAAGGCAAGAGCATGAAGGAAGCCAGAGAGAGTGTGGAGGGAAAAAAAATTGGAAGGGAATGGGCAGAGAAGGGAAGGAAAGGGAAAGGAAGGGAAGGGGAGGGGAGGGAAGGGAAGAGGAGGAAAGGGAAGGGGAAGGGGAGGAAAGGGAAGGGAATGGGGAGGGAAGGGAAGGGGAGGAAAAGAAGGGAAGGGGAGGGGAGAGAAGGGAAGGAAAAGGAAGGGAAGGGGAGGGGGGGAAGGGGAGGGAAGGTGAGGAGAGGGAAGGGGAGGGGAGGGAAGGGGAGGAGAGGGGAGGGGAGGGAAGGGGAGGAGAGGGAAGGGGAGGGAAGGGGAGGAGAGGGAAGGGGAGGGGAGGGAAGGGGGAGAGAGGGAGGGGAGGGAAGGGGAGGGGGGGGAAGGGGAGGGAAGGGGGAGAGGGAAGGGGAGGGGGGGGAGGAAGGGGAGGGAGGGGGAGGGGGGAGGGGGGGGGGGGGGAAGGGGAGGAGGGGAAGGGGGGGGGAGGGGGGGGGGAGGGAAGGGGAGGGAAAGGGAGGAGGAGGGAAGGGGAGGGGGAAGGGGGGGGAGGGGAAGGGAAGGGAGGGGAAGGGAGGGAAGAGGAGGGGAGGAAAGGGAAGGGAAGGGGAGGGAAGGGGAAAGAGTCTTTTTTTTCTAACTCCAGTCCAAGTTTAACTGTAAACTTTACAGGAAATAGAAAGTCTTTTCTTGGTTTTTAAGACATCCCATTTACACAGCATCAGCTGCATAGGTACCACACTGGGTTAAACCTCGTTATGTTTATTTTTTAACCTAGGCTGATGAACCAAACGGTCGTTTCCATAGTGCTTATCTTCATTTTACTGACGAAGATTCTAAGTAGGCAGATGTAAGCTCCCTCTGGAGAAGTGAATGCACCAGTATGTTTTTGTCAAGACTCTTCTGAAGAAAGGTTTGCAGAGCACAAAATTGCCTGATGGCAACCTGACTCCATTTATTACAGGCTCTGTGGAAAGCCACTTTGAATAACTGCAGGAACATAATTGAGTCTAAGTGGCTTCAAAGATTCTGCCTAATGGAACCCTTGGAAGTGGCATATTCATGTAGATCCACAGCAGCAAAGGCTGCAGAGGGTAAACTCAGTCTTCTCGGACATTGCACATAAAATCAGAGGAGAAACAGTGAGACATGGGGTTGATTATATATTGAAAATATGCTTTAAGACTCAAGTAAGTGTTACTAATTTATTTTCTTTTTGTTGTCTTTCTGTTTAAAAACACAACAAATAAAACACTACCCCATTGCAAAACTTCATTTAGTTACTCATGACTTAGGAAAAAGGGAATTTCAGACCTTGAGCATATCAGAGATGAAGAGGACCAATGGAGTCCTTGATGGCCAGAGTCCATGAGTGTTGTTGGATTTTGGTTTTTAATAGTGAGTTCTAGTGACCCTCTGGGAGAGGACTGGTACTGCACCATGGCCAGTGCTGGGGACCCAGGCACTTACCTTGCAGCCTTCACAGGTGATGCAGCGGTAGTGGTACCCTGTGGCTTTGTCTCCACACACTACACACAGTTCATCCTTGTCTAAATAGCTGGGGATATACCCTGCGAAGGACAAAGCAGAAGGTGAAGAAACAGCATCATGTTAAAGCAAAGACAGCCAGGAAGCTAATGTTGCCCGACCAGAGACACGATTGTTTGCTCAAGGGTGGTCAGGACAGAGTCAATGGAGCCAACCAGCATCCAGAGTGATGGCAACCAGTCTTAACCATGGGATCCTGCTTGCAGTAGGAGGCACCATCTAAACAGGTTGTGGTAGTCATGGGAGACTTGAAGCAGCTGCTGCACAGGTGTGGAAGGCCTGGATGGTACATGCTCTTTCTCAAAGCTCATTTTAGAGCTTGCACTTAAGACCCCACCCATTCTCAAGACAAGATACGAGGCAACAGTGTAGTCAGCCGTATGATACAGCAGTCAAGTACTTCCCAGGCCAAGGCATTGGCTTTACATGGTAGGAATTATAGAACAGAAACTGAAATCCAGCACTGCAACATCTGGTGCCAGGAATGAGTTATGTTGCCTTTCCCCCCTAAAAATAGAGAGCTTGAGTGGAATGAACAAGGGTCTCTGAAACAGTTTGGCAAATGAATACACAGCCTAATATTGCTGGATGCAAAGAAAGAATAGATGTTCTGTTGATTAATTAAAGAACACCCAACCACAGTGACACTCTTCGTACTGTGTTGAGTGGTGGATCAGACTCCCTGAGCTCTGAAAGATCTGGTTAAAAAGTAACATCAAGAGCAGCCTTCTTTCTGCTTTGTTTGTTTCTTCATCTTCATGTTCATGGCCACACACCCAAACACATGCCAAAGACACACATGCCTTTAGATAAGATCAAACTTTTTTTTTTTTTGGAGACGGTTTCTCTGTGGCTTTGGAAGCTGTCCTGTAACTCACCTTGTAGACCAGCCTGGCCTTGAACTCACAGAAATCTGCCTACCTATACCTTCTGAGTGCAAGTACTAAAGGCGTGTGCCACCAACGCCAGGCTCAAACTATTCTATAAAGAAGCGCATGGTTTATTGGTATGTGAAAGTGGGAAAGTGGACGAAACAGGACCTTCCCCGCTCTTGGCCTCGGGAATCTTTCTTAGTTTCAATCATGGTTGTGGAGGTTGAGCTACTGGTAATTTACTGTTTATTTTCTCATGACATTTTCATAGACCTTTTGTGACAACAGGTCATGGGAGGCTCATTTTTCAAAATAGAAGAGCCATGAAGAAAACCATTTCTTTCCATCATTCAGCAGAGATGACTTTGCTCAGCCTTCAGCCTAGGAAAACATTAGTGCTTTAGATGCAGGTGGAGGTCTCTGGAGGGTGAGCTGGTGTGGAGCAGGGCTGGGATTTTAATAACAATGGCTTTCCTTAGTTTCCTTTATCAGGCAAATGATGACTCCACCGTTGGACTCAAAATTTCCAGGCATTTTATTTTACTTTCTTATTTTAAAGTCTTCATGTTTTTAAAAGATTAGAAAAAATTTTATGTGTGTATGTCTGGGGGTTAGTAGGTGCACATGCCTGTGGAGGCCAGAAGAGGGCAGCGGCTCCCCTGGAACTTACAAATGATTGTGCTGCCCACAGTGGGTGCTGGAACCCAACTGTAGTATTTTTCATGGCAGAGCCATTTCTCCAGCATCTCAGCAGGAAATGTAAAAATAATTCTGGAATAGTCTGTGGTATCACACACCTTTAATCCGAGCACCCAGGAGGCAGTAGCAGGTGGATCTCAGTGAGTTCGAAGACAGCCTAGTCTAAAAAGTGAGTTCCAGGACAGTCAGGACTGTTACACAGAGAAACCCTGTCTTGACCCCCCCCCCAAAAAAAAAAAAAAAAAAAAAAAAATTCTGAGCTAGTTTGTAGTGGCACACACCTTTAATCCCAGCACTTGGACAGCAAGGGTAGGCAGGTCTCTAAGTTCAAGACCAGCCTGGTCTACAGATTGAGTTCCAGGACAGCCAGGGCTACACAGAGGAAGACTATCTCAAAACAACAACAACAACAACAACATATAATAATAATAATCATCCTTCTGGAGCAGGTGCAGAAGAAAGGGAATGGTTTGTTTTCAATCACTCATTTATCGATGACTCCAGCCAGAATATATTTAGCATATACAGTGTGCTAAGCACTAAAGCAGGCACACTGAACATAAAACAAATAAAATAGAATGTTTTGCTTTGGAAAGCCTGTAAGCAACTAGTTCTGTTTCTCTGTTCATTTCTCAGTGAGAGGGAATTAAAAATGAGGAAAGATGATGAAAAGATTCTTAATGCCATTGCAGAGAACTGTACACAGAAAGTATGCTGAGATACCAGCCACACTTAGTAGGATGGTGTGATTAGATTTAGAATAACATAGACGCCACACCTCTGGGCATGTCTATATGGATACCGGTTAATTTCCTGGTGGGCGGAGTAGATTAAATCCCTTCTGTTAATCTGCCAACTTGCTATAGCAATAACTATTCTAGTTAGTAGCAGTTGCTTATGTGGTTCTACTGGTGCATCCCAATCATCATTTTATTTTCTTCGATATTAACTGAACAGTCATATTTATCTAAGGCAGTTGCTATAAGTAATGGCACACCAATCCTTCTGCCTGAGCCCATTGTTCATCAGAAAATAATGCTAGCAGGGCTGGTGTCCTGTATACAGTAAATAGGCAGGCAGGGAGTCTCCTCTGGCAGCCCTGTGTACCCGATGATATGGCAGCTCCTGTCCCCCTTGAGAACTGAGCCACTTCTCACTGTTCGCCTTCACAGTCCCTTGTTTCCACCTTTCACACTCACAATACGAGTCACATGCTGCCAATGTGACCAAGTAAGAAAAGTGCACAGACATTAGTTGTGTTGTCAAATATGAACACTAGTGGGTGACATAATGTTGGTGTTGGATGTCTACATCAGATGGCTGATGTGTCACCTGAGGAACTGTGGATACAATTGTCCCAGGTCAACATCAGAAAGATTGTTAGAGGTTACAATGAATGAAACAACTAAGGCCCATGATAATCCATGAGAATTCAAGGCTGATGTGTTATTCCCAGTTTCTATGTGCTTGAATGAATTATTTTTCAGGCTAACAAAGTATGCTACCACATTATAAACATATATGCATATATGTTTTATATATATCATATATGATATATATGATATATATCATATATGTTTAAGTGTGTGGTGCTGTGAGTTGCAAAACAGGCACTCTACAACTGGCCTATAGTCCCAGCCTCCTAAGCAACGTTTAAGAAAGCAAGTGCCATTTGATTATTCAAAAAGGACTTGGAGAGTTTTGTTTTTTTAGTAACATTTGGCTCATTTGATTAATTGCTAAGTATTACTGTGAACATAAAATTGGTTGTTATGGTAAAATACTACTTTTAAAGAATTTTTTTTCTTTTGGAAACAACGTTACTAAGATAACACAACCAATGGTTTTTAATATATTCACGGAGTTGTGTAACTACGACCACCTATTAGTCTTAGAACATTTTAATTATCCCCCAGAGAAACATACCTTTTAGTGTCACTCCATCATCACCCCCTTGTTCTCCACCTCTTTTGCCCTAGGATACCTTGATACACTCTCTGTTTCTACAGATTTGTCTATTATTGCCATTTTAGACAGAAGGGATAAAATTTTTGGTGAACCTTTGTGACTGACTTTTCACTTAGCAGAGTTTTTCAAGATTCATGCATGTTGCAGGCAACACTGATGGTATGAAACGATTCTCGGAGGAGCTGGGGTCTGGAAAGCAAGGGTTTTGTTCTGGTTTTCTGGTTTACATTAGATCCAGTGCATTCTCTTGTGGGGACAAAACCAGGAGCCTGGCCAGGTTAGCTCTTTTGAATGAATTATGCAGTTTGGCAGGTCCTTAGAGGACACCTGGTACTTCCTGTCACCTTAGAAGACACACAACGAGTAAGTAGCAGGGCATAAGTAGGTTAACCTTGATGACAGATGTAAGGTTGAGGGTGCTACCTGTGAAGAAAGGGATACCTAGGTGTGCCTACCTTTCAACCGCGACTGGTCTTAACCTCAGAGCAGACTACTTGCCCAGTTGGACCAGTCCTGATGTCTAGAGGAAGCATTAGCTGTCACAGTGAGGGAATCTCTCTGATCAGGTCAGAGGGGAGATACACCCAGAGGCTACATATGCAGAGCAGGCTGGGTTGGACTCTAAGTTACTGCACAGTGTGGGGAACAGTAGCTTTCAGGCTGTGCCCTGCCCCAGAAGACTCCATTTCAGAAGCAACATTTTGCTGCACTCTGAGAGTGAGTGCAGAGGGAGGGTGACTCTGCATTGCATTGGTGTCTAGACACCATCACTTGTACAGCAGAACCCATGAGGCATAAACTGATACAACACATATCTCTAAAAGTAAGAAGTACCACCTATAAACTCATCAAGGTCGATTGGGAACATGTGGGCATATTGAAGACATATTAGACAAGCCTAGGCCTTGTCAAATGTGCCAGACTGACAGGAGTACAATATCCTCACTTGGACCCCATACAAGAAGGACACTTAATACTCTCCTGCCCAGGGCCCCATCAACCTGACTTGCCATCTTCATGCATATATAATACTTTGCTTGTACATCAAATGTCCATGAGGCTTTGGTTCAGCTTGGTCCTCACTGCTTGTTTTGGCCCACTTGAACTGCAGTCTGTCTGTCTAGATCTAATCTTACTCTTCACCGTCAAGGCCCTGCACCTTGCCCAAGCTGTATCTCTGCAGCTGGAATCAGCAGCTCCCCAAACAGGTTCTTTAATAGCTCATGTAACTACCTGCAGGGACTCTGCATCTGTCTGCCAGGTGTCTGCCTCTGCCTCCAGGAGGGCCTCTGTGAACTCTATGACCTCTGTACCCTACATCTATCCATGCAAATGACTATAGTCACCTTGTGATATGGAATGTGTTGTCTGGGAATGGGTATTAGCAATTAAGATGAGAGGAAAAGAGCGTGTGCTTGCCTCAAGACATTCTGACATTGTGAAAAGACTCACACAGGTCATAGGGACTCACAACACCACACTGT